TTCTTTTTCCTTTTTGGGTCACACCCGGCGATGCACAGGGGTTATCGCTCCAGCCCCTAAAGGGCAATACTTTTTCTTTGACTCTCTGGGCCACACCTGATTGTGCTCCAGGAACTATGTGCGGTGCTAGGGATCAAGCCTGGCTGGACCGTATTTTAGTGTCTTTATTTGGTTTGGTTCTGAAGCCACACCTGCCGGTGTTCAGGGAATATTCCTGGCTCTGCACTCTAGAATCAGTCCTGGCAGTGCTCTAAGGACCTTATGAGATTCTGGGGATTGTATCCAAGTTGGTCACATGCAAGGCAAGCACCCTACCCACTGTACTATCGTTCCGGCCCCACAGTTAAGTGTCTTATCTCTTGTACTATCCCTCCCAGTACACATTACTCTTGTCCCAGTACAAATAATCTTTGCAGCTTTGCTTTGGTTTGGGGGCCATACCCAGCAGTGCTCAGGACTGACTCCTGACTCTGGGCTCAGGTATCACTCCTGATAGAGCTCAGGGACCCATATGTGGTATTGGGGATAGAACCTGGTTTAACCGTATGCAAGACAAGTACCTGGCCTGCTGTATTATGTCTGCAGTACAAGGATAAATTATTTTTTAAATGTTTGTTAAATTTTGGGACCACACCTAGCAGTGCTCAGGGCCAACTCCTAGCTCTGCACTCAGGGGTCACTCCTGGTGGTGGTCAGGGGCCCCTATGTAGTGCTGGGGATCAAACCTGGGTCAGCTGCATGCAAGGCAAGCACCATACCCACTGTATTTTCTGGTCTCCCAACAGTAAATTCTTTTAGCAAACCTGCACTCATGCCTCGTAGGGCCCAGGCCTGCTTGGTTCCCACTGCACCTGGTCCCTGTATGCAGTCTTGGGGCCACACCCAACAGTACTGAGGGGTTTCTCCTGGCTCTGCACTCAAGAACTACTCCTGGTGGTTCACTCCATGGTTTGGAGGCCAGCCACACATGCTAGAGGGAAAGGAAGCTCAGATAGAGAAGGGAGCACCAAATAAAGGGTGTTGGGAGGATCCTCCCAGGATGGGAGATGTGTGCTGAAAATAGACTATAGACCAAACATGATTGCCACTTAATGCCTCTTCTGCAAACCACAGCACCCAAGGGGCTGGAGCGATAGCACAGCGGGTAGGGTGTTTGCCTTGCACGCAGCTGACCCAGGTTCGATTCCCAGCATCCCATATGGTCCCCTGAGCACCGCCAGGAGTAATTCCTGAGTGCAGAGCCAGGAATAACCCCTGTGCATCGCCGGGTGTGACCCAAAAAGCAAAACAAAAAAACAAAAACAAACAAAAAAACCCCAAAGCACTCAAAAGGAGAGAATAAAAGGGAATGCCCGGCCACAGAGGCAGAGTGGGATGGGGAGGTGGAGGATGGGGGGGATACTGGGACCCGTGGTGGTGGAAAATGGGCACTGGTGGAGGGATGGGTACCCGATCATTGTATAATTGAAACCCAACCACAAAAATTTGTAAATCTACAACTGTACTTCTTGGTATGTCACTAATAAAAATTAAAAAAAAAAAGAATTACTCCTGGTGGTACTTCAGGGACAATATGGGATGCCGGGGATCGAACATGTGTCAGATGCGTGCAAGGCAAATGCCTTACCTGCTGTACTATCATTCTGGGCCCAGTCCCTGTACATTAAAAACAAACAAACGAAGAGAGTAACCATGCCTGTCTGTGCTCAGGACTAACCCCTGGTTGTTCTTAGAGGACAGTATTTGGTGCCGGGGATCAAACCTGGGTTGGCTGCACCCAAGGCAAGTGCTTTACCTGCTCTCCTGTCTCTCTGCACGCCCCACCCCAGTGTATTTTTTCTTTTTTGGGTCACACCCAGCGATGCACAGGGGTTCCTCCTGGCTCTGCACTCAGGAACCACCCCTGGCGGTGCTCAGGGGACCCTATGGGATGCTGGGAATCGAACCCGGGTCGGCCGCGTGCAAGGCAAACGCCCTTCCCGCTGTGCTATGGCTCCAGCTCCCCCAGTGTATTTTTGAGGAAGTTAAAGCCCCGGGCCTTGCAGCGCCCGCAGCTGTGTGACATGTTAGGCACAGAGTCGTGCTTACCCAGAGTCAACATTCAGGGGACTAGTGCCAAGTGCTTTAGGGTCGACGAGGCCATCAGGGGAGCTGAGTCAGCGGGCCCAGCCCCCAGGGTTAGGGGTCCTGCCACACACCGTGCTCCGGCCACGACAAACAGGCTTCCTTCTCTTTCAAGACCAAAAGCACAGAGGGCTTTTGTTCACACCTGCGCATGGAATACGGAGCACGGCTGGGCACGGAGCCTCCCTCCAGGTGAGTGGATCGCGGCCACTGCCGATCACACCACAGCCGCACATTGATGTATTTGTTTTCGCTTCTGGGATGTTCTGGCCCTCCAGGATCCTGCCCTAGGGGCTGGGGTGATAGAGGACAGTGGGGCGGGCACTTACTCTGCATGCGCTGACTCAGGTTTGATCCCCAGCATCCCATATGGCCACCCAACCATCCTTGGCGCAATCCCTGAGTGAAGAGCCAGGAGTAACCCCTGAGCATCGCTGGGTATGACCCAATAAAACAAGGGAGAAAAGGAACTTACTCGCCGGAGCGATAATACAGCAGGTAGGATATTTGCCTTGCACGCGATTGACCTGGGTTCAAGCCCCAATATCCCATATGGTCCTCTGAGCACTGCCAGGAGTGATTTCTGAGCGCAGAGCCAGAAGTAACCCCTGAGCATTGCTGGATGTGACCCAAAAAGCAGAAAAAAAAAAAAGAACTTACTCTAACGAACTTTTTAAAAATTTTACTTTTTTCCCCTTATAACTTGCTTTTCTATTTATTTATTTGCATTTTGGGTCACACCTGGCGATGCACAGGGGTTCCTCCTGGCTCTGCACTCAGGAATTACTCCTGGCGGTGCTCAGGGGGCCCTATGGGATGCTGGGAATCGAACCCGGGTTGGCCGCGTGCAAAGCAAATGCCCTACCCGCTGTGCTATCTCTCCAGCCCCATAACTTGCTTTTCGTTGTCGTTTCTTTTTGGTCCATACTCAGCAGTATTCAGGGCTCACTCCTGGTGGACTCAAGGACCATATGGGGTGTCAGGGAACAAACCCAGCGTGGCTACGTGCAAGGCAAGTGCCCTACCCACTGGACCATCTCTCTGGTCCTGCACCACCAGGGGTGAGCCCTGAGCACCCTGGGATGTGAAGCTGTGAGACCGAGTACACACATGAGCACCTGCAGCCCAGCTGGCCTTCCCTGAAGGCTCAGAAGCTGTCAGTAACCCTGGGCAGCCCCAGGGCCCTGACGCATTGCTTAGGAGGCCCGGACTCTCCACCACTCACCCCTGCGGAGCCCACCCCACTGCACCCCAGCCGATGGAGTCACCAGCCGTTCCCAGGGGCGCTGCTGGAGGGAACGTCCTCTGTTGGGCACGCACCTCACGGCCCCAGCCCACAGGCTCAGCTGGACACCAGTGTCCCATCCTTCAGGGGGATGGAGCTCTTGCCAGTCAGGGTTCCCTGAGCGTTCCCCCAAGTCAGGCAGATACGAGTTTGGGCAGGCGGGGAGAGAGGGAGACAGGACGCCCCAATCCTGCCTCCAGCGTTTCAGGCGGCACCGAGGGCGACACAGCCGAACTCTGGGGGAAGCTGTGGGGTCGGGTCAGCAGCCACAGGTCAAAGGGCAGAGCAGAGCCCTGTGCCCCTGGGTGGGGATTGGGCCGTCTGGTCACTCCCCAGCCTTGTCCTGCAGTGAAGGGCAGTGAGGCTGTAAGGGGGATCCCGCAGGAACGGGGGAGGCTAGCCCCCAAATCCTGGCAAGGCCTGAGGGAGGCGGCAGCTGGCTCCCCGCCCTCCGCCCGGAACCAAGGCAGGAAGGAAGGGGTTCGGCTAACGCCCCCTCAGATCCAGAAGGGGCCCAGAGAGATGGGGGGGGCTAGAAACCCTCCCCTCCCCCTCCAAAAAAAGGTGTCCAAGTATCGGTTCTAAGACACCGAGGTCAGGGGACAAAACGTTTCTGGCATATTCTACTGTGACCCCGGGTGGCCCTCGGCTGGGGGAGGGGAGGGGCTACGTGCATCTGACCCCAGGGGGTGCACCCCGGGAAGGTGAGAGGTGTCAGTGTGGGGTCCCCACTGCTGCTCCCACTTTCCTTTTCCCCCAGGGATGGGGGGTTAAGGCCAAGAAACCAAGTTTGTCAGGAGCAACGCCAGTGTGGGGGAGGGGACGCCCCAACGCATCAGGTTGGGTGGGAAAGACACGTGGGGAGGGAGCACAGTGGCTGCCAGGCGTGGGGGACAGGACAAGGTGGCCGTGAGCCTGGGACAGCTGCTGCCTTGGTTTCCTCTCCAGGAGGTGGGGCTGCGTGCTGTCCGGGTTAAAGGTGGAGCACTGGGTACACACAGCCCAGGTCATCACTCGGCTCGGGTGGCCCCGGCCCTGCCCTTGGGGCAGATGGGACAAGGGTGGCCCCCGGCTCGCTGTCCCTCCCCTGCTTCCGAGAACATGATGTGACCAGCCCTCGTGGGGGGTGGGGGAACGGGACTGGGAGGTCCTCCCCTCCCTCTGGCCAGGTTCCGGACACACAGCGAGGAAGAGCAGCGACCAGGGGTGGCCCCCAGGAAACAAGGTCAAGGTTCAAGAGCAGCAGGCCAGGCTAGGTGGCGGGCGCCAGTCAGCACTTTACACAACAGACAGGAAGGCTGGGGGAGGAAGGGGCAGAGGGCAGCGGGGCCAGGCCAGGAGGACAGAGCAGGACACGCTGCCCACCGCCCCCAAACCCAGGCGCTCCTCGCCAGCCCGGTCAGCAGTAAAGAGGGCAGCAGTGACTGCTTCCCCTGCCCCCGTCCCCCCCAAGGCTGGCAAAGGCATAACGGGGCTCCCTTCTGAGGGGCGGAAGGGGACTCAAAAATCTGAACAAAAAAGGCTAAAATGTCATAGTTTTTTTTTTCCCCCTTTTCTTTTTTGGGTCACACCCAGCGACGCTCAGGGGTTACTCCTGGCAGTGCTCAGGGGACCATATGGGATGCTGGGAATCGAACCCGGGTCGGCCGCGTGCAAGGCGAAACGCCCGACCCGCTGTGCTATCGCTTCAGGCCCCGAAACATTTCACTCCGTGCGCCCTGGATAGGGCCAGGCAGAGCACAGGTGTCCAGGGGGGGAGGAATGGGACGGGCTGCAGTCCTGCTTCACTGTGGGGGGCGGGGAGACGAGCGCAGGGCCCCCCTCTGTGAGTTCCTGAGGGTTCCGGCCCCTTGAGTCACGTTCCGGCCAGGGGTCGCCCGGGTCCTGTGTGGCCAGCGTGTCTGTCCCTCCCTCTCGGGCAACCCGCCAAGGTCCGTGTCGCCGGCTTCCAGGTCAGGGGTCTCATTCCAGGAACTCTGGGTCAGGCTCAAAGCTCGTCGTGGGGGCTGTGCGTGAGGGGGGACGCCTTCTGGATGCCCTCCTCGTCCTCGTCCTCGGGGCTGGGGTCCCCCAGCTCCTTCCGCTGTTTGCTGCCGCCGCCCGCCGCCTTAGCCCCGCCGATCTTCTTCTTGGGCTTCTTCCCCCCCAGCGCCGCTGTGTCCCCCTTCTTGCCCGACCACTGCTCCGCCAGGCAACCTGCGGTGAAGAGACAGAGCCCCTCAGAGACGGGGGTGGAGCTGGAGACGCCAAGGGCTGCAGCACACGCCTTGCAGGCCCCAAGTTCAATCCCCGGCGCCAGGGGCTAGAGCAGTAGCACTGCGGGCAGGGCGTTTGCCTTGCACGCGGCCGACCCGGGTTCGATTCCCAGCATCCCATGTGGTCCCCCGAGCACCGCCAGGAGTAGTTCCTGAGTGCATGAGCCAGGAGGAACCCCTGTGCATCGCCGGGTGTGACCCAAAAAGCAAAAAAAAAAAAAAAAAAAAAGAGATGCATAATGAGAGTAGACTCTAGACCGAACATGATTGCCACTCAATGTCTCTTTTGCAAACCATAGCACCCAAAAGGGGAGAGAGAACAAAAGGGAATGCCCTGCCACAGAGGCAGGGTGGGGGGTGGGTGGGGAGGGGGGTGGGAGGGCTACTGGGATCACTGGTGGTGGAGAATGGGCACTGGTGGAGGGATGGGTACTCATCATTGTATAACTGAAACCCAAGCACAAAAATTTGTAAGTCTACAACTGTACCTCATGGTGTATCACTAATAAAAATTTAAGAAAAAAAAATACAAAAAGAACTGGCAGGCTACCAAATGTAGCCTGCCCACACGGCAGAGTCTGGCAAACTCCCCGTGGCATACCCAATATGCCAAAATACCAGTAACAATGATGGGTCTCATTCTCCTAACCCTAAAAGAGCCTTGAATATGGCAATTTTTAAAAAAAATCTCAGGGCTAGGATGAAGGAGATGTTACTGGGGCTTGCTCGAGGCAATCGACGAACAACAGGACGGTTGTGATCGTGATAAAAAAAAAAAAAGACAATCTGTAGGATAGCACTGTTAATCAATCCCCAGTGCCCCACAGTCCCCTGAGAACCGTGAGGCGTAACCCAGTGGCCCTGGAGGCTTGCAGGGGTGATCCTGGTGGCCCCGACTCAGCACTGAGGAGCGACAGGTCTGGCCCAGTGGGCAGAATCCTGCTGGGGGCGGCCCAGGGGACCCTCTTCTTCCCCCGCCAACAAAGGGCTGGCCGTCGTGAGCCTTGCAAGCACCGGACCCCAAGTTTGATTCCTATGACCCCCAGCACCACAGGCCTGCCCCGGGTGGTTTGAGCAGGGCCCCGCCCCCGGGCCCACCCAGCTGAGCTGCCCGGAGCACCCTGGGGGGGCCACAGTGTGGGGCGTGAGCAGAGACTGGGGGAACTGCCACTGAAACGGGTGCCTCTGGGGCAGCTGAGTGACCCACACGGCCTTTTATTTATTTATGTTTCTTTTGGGGTCACACCCAGTGATGCACAGGGCTCACTCCTGGCTCTGCACACAGGAATTAATCCTGGTGGTGCTTGGGGGACCCTTTGGGATGCTGGGAATCGAACCCGGGTTGGCCATGTGCAAGGCAAATGCCCTACCTGCTGTGCTATCGCTCCAGTCCCCCCACATGGCTTTTTGTCGGGGGATGGTGGCATGGGATTGGCCTGGCTATGCTCAGGGGTCACGCCTGGTGGGGTGTGGGGACCGGATGGGGTGCAGGGACCGAACACAGCCTGCACCTTAACCTCTGTACTGTCTCTCTGACCCTCAGTGCCCCACCCCCCACAGCATTTCCCGCCGGCCTGGGGTGCTGGGGGGAACGGTGTGGCGCTTGAGATCGAGCCTGGGGTGCCCTGACCTCACCCAGCCACCCTGTCCTAGAGCCGCTACCATGTCCCTGACTTCCGGCCCTTCTTTCCTCGGGTCCCCTCACTTACTGGTGTCCTTGCCCTTCAGAACATGGTTGGCACACAGGAACTGGGTCAGGTCCTCCTCCTGGTGGTTCCGGTACCAGTCCTCGATCACCTCCTCGAATTCTTCCACCAGCACGTCACACTGTGAGGCACGACACCCGCCATGGGCACCAGCTCCCCAGAGGGGTGCCCCCACCCTGGCCAGGGGCCGGGGCTAGTGATCACCTCCCAAGAAGGGCCCCTACCTGCTTCTTGAGGTCGGCCACCTCCGCAGAGGTCTCGTTCCACAGCTCGTAGGGGATGTCCATCACCACCTTGACCCCTTTGTGCACCAGATTGTGCAGCGTCTCAAAGGTCTCCGACATGCCCTGGAAGGGCGCAGGCGTGAGAGGCTGTGGGAGCCGGTGCCGGACACCCCACGGCCCAGCGCAGAGACCCACACCCCCCCGAGCCTCCTCCACTCGCCTCGCCCTCCTCGCGGGCAGGCCTGCCGCCCACCCCAGCCTCCGGCCCTCTCACGACATGCTGCTCTCAGCTCCCTCCCGCGGCCATGTCTCTTCTTGAGTGACCAGCAAGGACCGAGTGATGGAAATGACTCCGGCGGGGGCCGGGGTGACAGAACAGTGGGGAAGGGGTTGGCCTTGCAAGTGGCTCACTCGGGTTCAATCCCCGGCATCCCAGAGGGCTCCCCTGAACTCCACCAGGCGTCATCCTTCAACGCAGAGCCAGGAATAAGCCTTAAGCACTGCCAGACGCACCTCCCCGCCCCAAACAAACATTATTTCTGCCAGCTGCTCTGGTCTCCTTTCCAGAAACAGCATGCCCTCCACGTCAGCGAGGAGGCGGGAGAGTCCATGCCCACATCGACACACGACTCTGTCCTTCCTTCCTGCACAGGCTGTGCAAGTGCTCACATATTCTGTGCACACGTGCGCGGTGCTGGGGATGAGGCCCAGAGCCTCACATGAGACCTGCCACTGTCTCTCACCCACAGCCCAGGCACCTACGCTGCTCCTGTTACTGAATAACCTTGGAGGTCAGATGGCTCAAAGGGCCAGGCATGTGGTTTAACCCGGGAGGGGAGGATCCTGTCTTCAATCCCCAGCACCACGCAGTCCCCAGACACCACTGGGGGTAGCCCCGAAACATACCCCCAAGTCCCCCAAACTGACTTTCAGGGTCAGGGAGATAGCTCATGGAATTTTTTTGGGGGTGGGGGTCGGGGGGGGTGTCAAGGGCTGGGGGGTTGGTTTGGGGTCACATGCCCTACCTGAGACGGAATGCACATCGGTCTCACCCCGCACTATCTCTTCCCTGGATGACATCTCAGGTCTTGCACAAACCCCCAAATCTGACCCCGGGAAGTGCCAGGCCACCCGCACTGGTGGGAGTGAGCACTGAGCCCCGAGCAAGCTCACTCAGGTGGCTCAAATCCTCCTTCACGCTTGTGTCCCCCTCGAAAACGACACGTACACCTTGGAGAACTGCTGAGCTCCTCTGATAAAGCACTAGTCATTCCTCCCTCCACAGCTGCCCGTCCGGCTGCTCAGAGGCTGCCTGCCAAAGGCTGCAGGTCCTTCTGATCTGGGGGCTACGGAACAGCGTGGACAAAAGGTTTATACTGGAGCAGACGTGAGTGTGTGACCAAACTCGAACGAGCTTTAAAGCTCAGGCCTAAGACTTCTGCATCATGAGAGGATTCCTCGGGGGTCTGGACCCTGAAACCAGAAGGGCCCATGCAGGGAGGCCCCGGTACCAGTCCCTGAGGATGGAGACCCCGAAGAGAGAGGGGCAGGTCTCTCCGGCCAGTGTGGTCCCTGTCCCCTCAGCACACCCACGGGGGGAGGGGGCCATCACCCCCACCCCAATGTGCCACTCAGGACCCCCTTTCCCCACACACCCTGAGCTCTCCTCAAGGAGGGTCACACCCGGTGATGCTCAGGGCCTGAACGACAGGCCGGCCATCCTAGGTGTGCCCGCTAGCCCGGGGACACGAGGCGAGCAGAGAGCCAGGAAGCGATCTGGGGAGAGGGCAAGAAAGGGGGTTCTGGGGGGCAAAGCAGCGGACTCCCGAGCTCCGGGCAGGCCCCCCCGGGGATGAGGGCCAGGAACAAATCCAACCTTGGCAAAGCGGTTGCTGCCCGTCCTCTCCTTGTGCAGGCTATAGTCCAGGAGTCGCTTGCAAATGGTCTCCGTGACTTCGATTAGGCGCAAGTCCCTGCCGAGACAGCAGCACGGGAGGGACTGAGCCCCCGTCCTCGCCCCCGCGGGTCAGCGGTCCGACCCTCCAGCCCTGCTACCCCGACACCTGCGCATCTCACCAACGGCGAGTCAGAGCTGGAGGGAGGATAGGTCATCTGGTCTGGGGGCTGAGCTGCTGGAACACAGACCAGAGAGACAGGATTGGAGCAGCACCCCGACAACTCGCTATCCTGATAATGAGTCAGCATCTGGGGGGGCGGGTGGTTTTTTGTTGTGGGGGGGGTCACACCCGGTAATGCTCAGAGCTGACTCCTGGCTGTGTGCTCAGGAGTGACTCATGGTGGTGCTCGAGGGACCACATGGGGTGCCAGGATCGAACCCAGGTTGGCAGCTTTGCAAGGCAAGTGCCCTGCACAATCTCTCTGGCCCCCAAAGTTTTTGCTTTTTTTTTTTTTAAATAACAGCAAGTATATCAAAAGCGGATGCCAAAAAACCTACAACTGGAAAAGGAGATCATAGCTGTTGACGGAAATCTGCTTGTTGTTAATATTTATGCCTGGGAAAATTAGAAGTCAGCTGTGGCAAAAGCATGCCTCACATGTGAAGCCCGGGTTTGATTCCCTGCACCAAAAGAAAGAAAGAAAGAAAACAGAAGAAAGAAAGAAGGAAAGAAGGGAGGAAGGGAGGAAAGAGAAATGAGAGGTGGAGGGAGAGAAGGGAAGGGTGAGGGAGGGGGGGGAGGAGAGAGAGGGAGGGAGGAAGGGAGGGAGGGAGGGAGAGAGGGAGTGGGTTGGTTCTAATCTTAAGACTCAATATTTTCAAAAACTGGTTCACAAGATTCAAGAATCTGGGAGTCACTGACGAGGTGCAATGAATGGTCTTGCTGTCTCAGATGACGGAAACGCCAGAGGAGCTACTGGATTTCATGGTCACAATGGCCAGGGGCAGAGTGGTGGGCGAACAGCCTTGGCCAGGCGGCCTTCCTCTGGCGTGTGCCCCTTCTGCATGGAGGACGGGCAACTTGGAGGCCCCAGAGGCCCCAGGAACAGAGCCCAGAAGCAGAGCAGCTCAGGCTGCGGGCCCCCGAGCCACTTACGATTTTGTGTACTTGACCCCGGAGGCCTTCCGGTCCAGGATGCCGTAACCTGTGTCAATCACCTCCTTGGTCTTGCCCGTCTCCTCAAAGGCCGACTTGAGCTCTACAGCGACGTATTTACACACTGGGGAGGGAAACAGCACAGCCCACTGAGAGGTGTGTGTGTGTGTGTGTGTGTGTGTGTGTGAGAGAGAGAGAGAGAGAGAGAGAGAGAGAGAGAGAGAGAGAGAGAGAGAGAGAGACCCCAGCCCACTTGCGGGGGTGTATCTGTTTTCTGTGCCTCTCGGTGTGTGTGCGGTTAGCTCCCAACATAGGGGAGGGAACCAGCGCAATCCACTGAGGTGTGTGTTTGCATGTCTTTATGTGTGGCTAGCTCCCAGCACTGGAGAGGGAGATGGTATACAGCCCACTGAGGAGCGTGTGTGTCTGTGTCTGTGTGTGAGGCTAGCTCCCAGCACTGGGGAGGAAATGGCACAGTCCATTGTGCACACACAGGGGTGTGTGTGTGCATTTGTGTGTGTGTTTCTGTATGCGTGCATTTGTGTGTGCGCGCGTTTGTGTGCGCATCTGAAGGGAGCCAGCTCCCAGCGCACACCCCTTCCCCCGCCCCACTTCCCCCCCTGCCTCTCAAGGCGGGGTTCTTGTCGGGCGGGGAGGGAGTCAGCATCACAAGCCCTTGTGCAGTTCCTTGGGAGGATCTGGATCCACTGCCCCGTCTACTTTCGGTTCTGACCCTACTAGGGACTTCACTTCGCCCAACCTTCCTCCCGCTCCTAGCCTGTCGGCATCTTAAATTTTTCAAACGTACTGAAAATCTAAAGGGGCGATGTTAGTGATCTGTCACAATCTCTCCCTAATAGATAATATCAAGTGACCGTTTTTTGCCAAGCCCCTTTGAAAGTTGCAGAAAACACAGCGACGATCCCATTGCCGACCATGCAGCCGGAGAACAGGGACCTTCTACATAACCAGACAACTAGGGATACCTAAAGGCACATCTAAAGGCCCTCCCGTTGATCGTCGATTTGCTCGAGTGGGCCCAGTAATGTCTCCATTGGAGACTTTGTTGTTACTGTGTCTGGCATATCAAATACTTCACGGGGAGCTTGCCAGGCTCTGCCGTGCGGGCGAGATACTCTCGGTAGCTTGCCGGACTCTCCGAGAAAGATTCCTCTATCACCTAGCACCCAGTTCATATTCAAAAGCGCTTTCTATTCCCCAGATGTCTTTTTTCTTTCTTTTACTTTAGATACAAATACCATAATAGTGTTTCAAGCATAGAAATGTCTTTTTCCCAAATATCTTTTTTTTTAAATTTGCTTTTTGGGTCACACCCGGTATTGCACAGGAGTCACTCCTGGCTCTGCACTCAGGAATTACCCCTGGCGGTGCTCAGGGGACCATATGGGATGCGGGGAATCAAACCCAGGTTGGCCTTGTGCAAGGCAAACGCCTTACCCGCTGTGCTATCACTCCAGCCCCTTCCCCCCCCAATTTTTTTTTTTTGCTTTTTTGGGCTACACCCAGCAATGCACAGGGGTTACTCCTGGCTCTGCACTCAGGAATTACTCCTGGAGTTGCTCGGGGGACCCTATGGGATGCTGGGAATCAAACCCAGGTCGGCCGTGTGCAGGGCAAACGCCCTCCCCGCTGTGCTATCACTCCAGCCCCTTCCCAAATATTTTTAAAAATCTTTTTTGTGTATTTTGGGGCCACACTCTGCAATGCTCAATCTGTTCTGCAATCAGGAGTTACTCCTGGCGGTGCTCAGGGGACCATATGAGATGCTGGGGAAGAACCCAGGTCTGCCGCGTGCAAAGCAAGTACCTTACCTGCTGGTACTTTCACTCCAGCCCCCATTAATTATCTTTTTGATCACGGTTACTTGATTATGTCTGATTTCTTACACTGTTTCAATCCCTGCTCCCTATTCCTACCAAGTGAATCTGCTCTGTCCCTTCTGTTTCTTCTCTTTTGTACAGCTATCTTCTCATTTCTTTTCATTCTTCCTTGTTTTAAAACTTTTTGTTTGTGTTTTGCACCACACACATAACTGTGCTTGGGGGACCACATGGAATGCTGGGGACCGAACTCAGGTCAGCCGTGTACAAGACGAGCGCCCTACCCGCCATCTGCACTATCACTCTGGGTCCTCCTTCTTTCTCATTTTTAAGCAACTCTGCTGGGGGTCAGGCACTGACTGGGGAAACAGACATGAAAAGAAAGTCTTTCAGATAAAAGAAAGAAAAAAAGAGGGAGCTCAGATAGAGAAGGGAACACCAAATAAAGGGTGTTGGGAGGATCCTCCCAGGATGGGAGATGCATGCTGAAAGTAGACTCTAGACCAAACATGATTGTCACCCATTGCCTCTTTTGCAAACCACAGCACCCAATAAGAAGGAACAAAAGGGAATGCCCTGCCACAGAGGCAGGGTGGGATGGGGGGTATGGGGGGTGGGAGGGATACTGAGATCAGTGGTAGTGGAAAATGGGCACCGGTGGAGGGATGGGTGTTTGATCATCGTATAACTGAAACCCAAGCACAAAAATTTGTAAGTCTACAACAGTACCTCACGGTGTTTCACTAATAAAAATTTTTTAAAAAATTTAGGCAAATAAGTATTATGGTGTGAGGAGAGAGGCCTAAGGAAAGTTGCTTCATGCCTGCTAGGGACCTTTGCACCCCTTCTTCCAAGCTTACCCTAAAAGCATCCTCCCCCAGGAAGTCCTTCTGGGCTAATTCTGCCTGCTCTCAATTTTGTTTTTTGGGCCACACCAGCCATGCTCAAGGATTACACCTGACAGTGCTAGAGGGGACCACACGGGGTGCCGAGCAAGTGCCCTACCCCCTCAACTATTGCTCTGACCCTGCCTGCTCGCAGTTTTCTGTGGGCCTCTGCAGGAAGCATCCTCACGAAGGGCCTTGAGTCAGCTCCCATCTCTCCAACTCGACTCCAGGGGAAGCTGAGTCTCACATCCAGAACCGACTCCACCTTCCCCTCGTCCGGACTCCATGTCGAGACCCTGAGAGAGACCACTGCTGAGGAGACTGCACTGGTGGTCGAGCAGCTTCGAAGGCCTCTGCAGGAAGCGGATTTCAGACCATGGTCTGCACAGGTACAACACCAACGAGCAGTTGGGTAGGAAACCAATTCACCGCCCAGACAAAGAGCCTGGAGGCTTGCTCGGTGAACATTTCATGATATGCATGTAAAAAGATGGCACGGGGAACTTTGGAGCACATGAAAATGCCAAAACACAAGCTAGTGGGCGCAGAGCCTGCCAGGAACTGTGGATGCTTCCCCCCAGGGCCATCTGGGCGTCTGCCCCTTCATCCTGCCTGGCGCGAGCCATCATCATTTTGGCTCCTTGGCCCCCTTCTCCCACGCCTGCGTCCCCCACCCCCGGGCTTGTAGTGTTCCAGGCCTGGGGGAGGAGGTGGTTGGAACCCATCAACCCAATATTTCTTTCATTCCCATCACCACCCTGGTTCTGTACTTCCAAGCCTTCCTCCCTCCTCAAGACCCTCTGAGGATCCCACCCAAAACGAGACTTGGAGAAGATTCATGGCACCGACCCCAGCCCCTCCCAGATATCCTCCTCCTCCTCCTTCTCCTCCTGTGGATGGGTTCTCCTTCCTCTGTGTGTAGGCCTGTCCACTCTGGTTTCTGGGCCAGAAGTGGACCAGCAGCAGCCTCCAGGGAAAAGGTGCAACAGTGATGGAGAAAAGGGAACATGAGGGGCTGGAGAGATACTTGAGTGGGCCGGGCGCTTGCCCCTTGCACACGTGGCTGACTGAGGGTTTGGATCCCTGGCATCCCTGCCAGAAGCAGTTCCGGGAGTTGAGCACCACTGGGTATGGCTCAAAAACCAAAAAAAAAAAAAAAAAAAAAAAGAAGAAGAAGAAGAAGAGGAGGAAAAAGGGCAAAAGTAAGGGAACATCTGGGGAGAAACCTTAAGTTCTAGTTGGTCAAGAGATCATCTGAGGATCCCAAATCCTGCTTCAATGGTGCCAGATCGTCACCTACAAACGAAGGATGGGCTACAACCATCTCTACATTCCCTGTCCTAAGCTTCCACGAGCCCATGAGGACGGGGGAGGGAAAAAACCGGGAACTTCTTAGACTGCCTGGAACAGTTGGGGCCCAGTGGTATGAGAACAGGAGAGAAAGGGAAAGGAAGTGAAACCCACAAAGGGTATCTTTAAACTAAAGCACTAAAGAGAGAAAGGAAACCGCCCCAGGGAGGGAGGGAGGCAGTGGCAGAAGCATCTCTCCTTTCCTCTGCCCGGGGCACCTTCTAACACCCTCACCCCCTCTTCCTCTGTGGCGCTCAGCTCAGGCAACATCTAAGCCGCTGGAGGCTTTGAATTGGGGTGACTGGGATTAAAGGGCAACTTTGGGATGGGGGCAGGAGGCAGGAGGGAAAAAAAGAAAAAGAAAAACAGAAAAGGAAATAGCAGGGGGAAGGAAAAAAGTGGGCCCTCCCGGGTCCTGGATGGCCCTGGCTAGGGGCTCCAGGGGGCATGTCCTTCTCTCCACCCGCCCCCCAAGTCCCCCCCACTTAAGTCTTCGGGAATCTCTGCCCCCTGCAGGACCCTAAAAAGGTTCTACCTGCCTTCACATGGGGAGGGGACAGCCCGCACGCCCCCCCACCACCTCCAGCAACCCCATCGGTGCCTTCGCGATGGCCCCCATCCGGGGGGTGCGGAGGGGAAGACACACGAGGTGGTGGTCAGGGCATCAATTCTCGGGGGGCCTCTGCGTCCCGGATGAGGGGGATGGGTCTTTTGGATGGGTCTTTTCGCTTCCCCAAACTCGCCCTCCGCCCTCCGCCGTGGCTTCCTGTGCCGGACCCTCTGCGGTTTATTTTTTTTTTTTCACTTCTCCCTCCGGGGCTCACAGTTCATCCTTCTCTGGGGCCCCCCCAGACCTCCCTCTGCCCGGCCGCCCAGCGAGCTGGACGCGATGCCCCTCCCCGGGCCCCGCGCGGCGTCCACCACCCCGGGCGAGCGGAGGCCGCGGGGCTCCAGGCACACAGTGGGGTGCAGGGGGTGCAGGAGGGTGCAGGGGGGGTGCAGGGGGGTGCAGGGGCTGCAGGGGTGCAGGGGCCCCGCCCCTCCGCCCCAGCCTCCCGCGGGCCCCGCCCCCTCACCTTCGCATTTGCTGGGCAACCGGACCCAGTCGGTCTCCTCGGCGTGGGCCGGGCTCGGGCCCAGCTCCGGGGCGGGCAGCAGCAGGAGCAGAGGGAGGAAGAGGAGACAGCCGGGCCCGGGCCGGGGCGCGGGCTCGGACAACCGCTCCATGGCCCAGCCGGACCCGACCCCGCAGCGCCCGGCTGCTCTTCCTCCTGCTGCGCGCGCTCCGCTGCGGCCGGGACTCGCTTCCGGGGCTGCACACGTGCCTCGGCGTCACCACGGCAACGGCGAGCCCCCCCCCCCGCCCGCCCCCCGCGGACGGCGCGGCCAATGGGCTTCTCGGGGCTTGCCCGCTGGCGAATGGGAGCAGCGAGCTTCTTTACTTTTCTGCCAATGAGAGGGCGCATGGTGTCTTCAGCGACCAATGGCAGTCTTTTCCCACCCTCTTTGGGCGGAGCTAGAGGACCCGGAGCGTCGGAGAGGAGGCCCCGCGCTGGGACTAGGGAGATGCCAGCAGTGCCCCTTTCGTCGCCTCTCCTTGTCCTTGCACGTCGCTTCCGGGCCTTTTAATATTTAATCAGTATTAAAATTGTTGCCGTGGCTCTTGTTGTTAGGGCCAGTCACCCTAATCGGCGCTGTGTGTGACACCAGAGGACGCAGTCCTCAGCCTTAGCGTCTTGTAACCCGTCCCGCAGAGAACTGGAACAAAACACCAACTCTCGAGCCTCAGTTTCCACCTGTAGGAGGAGAACGTGACCCTCCTAGATCCTGTTGCTGGGAAGCGCAAATAGGTTACTGGAAGTAAAACTTATTGGATCAATGGAACTCAATGTACCGATTCCCTGTTTTAGCTAGCAATCAAGCATTGGTTGCCCTGGAAACTTTCAGTCCCTTTCTGCCAGAAGTCTGGGATGTGGCTGATGAGACCTCTCTTGCCCTTCCATCTTTCCGGCGACTACAGGGTGCCCTATGAGCCATCATGTGTGTGCTCCAGGCTGTCGGTAAGCACACAGGCCAGCGCTGTCTCTCAGGAAAGCAAGTCCCAGTTTGGGGGTGGGTTGGGGTGCTGGAAGCCCCACCTTGAAGTGCTCAGGTCTTACTCCTTACTCTGTGCTAAGAGATCCCTCCTGGTGGTGCTTGGGGGACCATATATAGTGTCAGAACAGAACTGGGGTCAGTTGTATACAAGGCAAACACCTAAATTTCTGTTCTTTTTGTTTGGTTGCTTGGTTTAGAGGACCCTTGTGCTCAGGGATGACTCCTGGTTCTACATTCAGGAACTACTCTTGGCAGGGCTTGGGGGACCATGCAGGGTTCCAGGGATCAAACCTGGGTTAGCCGCCTGCAAGGCAAACACCCTACCCACTGTACTATCTCTCCGGCCACAGCCTCTGTTCTCTCTCTCTGGCCCTTGACCTTAGCTTCTTGTACAAGACAATTGCGTGGGTGACCAGGCATTTTGGAGAGGCAGAAGTTGCGAAGGTAGAACTTCATGATGCAAAGAGTCATCTCCCCTTCCCAAGGTTCTCTGTTTTTTAGACTTCTGAGAACTTGGGAAGCTTATATGCTGGCCTCACTATGGCCTCTGATTTACCTGGGACCTGAGCCTTCCTGGAAACAGTGGTAGGCTTCAAGGTCCTGGATGGGTTCGGGGCACTGGGGTGAGTGGAGAGGGAGTGAGAAGCTGCGTTAGTTGGCTCAGCTGCCAGGCTGGGGTCACGGGCTAGAGAAAGCTCAAGCAGACAGCTAGACACAGCCTCACCCCAACTCAGACACCCCCCTCTCCCCGCCAGTGGAGAAGGAACGGGCCCATCAGGATGGTGAGCAGATTCACCTCCAGAAGTTGGGTGACCTCCTCTTCCTCTCTAAAGAATCCATCAGATGGGCTGGAGCGATAGCACAGCGGGTAGGGCATTTGCCTTGCACACGGCTGACCGGGGTTTGATTCCCAGCATCCCATATGGTCCCCTGAGCACCGCCAGGAGTAACTCCTGAGTGCAGAGCCAGGAGGAACCCCTGTGCATCGCTGGGTGTGACCCAAAAAGCAAAAAAAGAAAAAAAAGAGAGAGAGAGAATGGGGTCAGGCTTGCTTTGCCAATGGCTGAACCTGTTTTTTTTTTTTCCTGCTTTTTGGGTCACACCCAGCGATGATCAGGGTTACTCCTGGCTTTGCACTCAGGAATTACTCCTGGAAGTGCTTGGGGGAACCATATGGGATGCCAGGGATCGAACCCGGGTCAGCCACGTGCAAGGCAAACGCCCTACTACCTGCTGTACTATCGCTCCAGCCCCTGAACCTGGTTGTATACCTGACACTGTGTGTGGTCACTGAACACAGGCAGTAGTGGCCCCCAAACACTCCAGAGTCGGGACTAGCCCTGAGCACCACTGGGTGTAGGCACCACCCCCGCATGCAAGGAAAGAAGAATAATTAAAAAAAAAAAAAAGAAGTGGAAAGTTTTCTTACAGACTGGTGAAAGATGGGCAGCAGAGAAGACAATGAGGATTTTGTTTTGGGGGTTCTGGGGTGCATGTGGTGTCGGGGACTGAAGCCAGGACCTCACATAAGCAAGGCATGTACTCTGCCCCTTTGAGCCGTTCCCACGACTGATGGGGAGGGTTTTCATGGGGCAGCACCTAATGGGGAGCAGACGCTCTGGAGGGGCCTTTGACACCACAGGTGTGTTGTGGGGGGCGGGGTGAGGCTTTAGTGCTCCACACTCCACATCCCTGGGAGAAGACTAGGGGAGCACCACCGACCAACCCAGGGAAGATGAGGGGGCCACCATGACATGGAAATTGTTCTGTGCTGCATGTCTGGGGTACTTCTGGGTTTATGAGGGAGTTCCAAGAGATTCTCTGCGGGGTCAGAGTGATGAGAGTGGTTGCTTTGCTCGCAGCTGACTAGGGTTCAGTCCACAGTATCCTATCTGGTCCCCTGAACCTCACCTGGAGTGATCCCTGAGCACAAAGTCAGGACTCAGTCCTGAGCACTGCCGGGTGTGCCCCCCACCCAAGACCAAACCAAACCGGAAAATAAAAACACACCAAACCAAAAGATTTTCCAGGTGTTTCCTGGAGAGGAACCCCGGGAGGATGAGTGGGTTTCTTGCCATTCCTGCGGGCACACAGGCACATAGGACCAGCACTAGACCCTCTTAGGACACAAAACCAAAGATCTCTTGAGCACTTGGCTGCAGTGGCTTCAGTGAATATTTGTCGGATGAATAATGGCGCTTAATTGATTAATAATGTGTACGTTTGGAATTAGCATCCATGCTTTTGGCATCGGACATGAGACCATGATGGGGGGATTCGGGCACTGCTCACTTCTGTCGAGTCTGGACAAGAACACAGTTCAGGCCTTGTGCCCCACCTTCCTGGGCTTCCCGGGCTCCGTGCCCTGACCTCTCACAGAGGTTGGCCAGGGGGAGGAGTGCTTGGGTGGGTGCCCCCATACCTAGCAGTGCAGGGGAGGAAGTAGAGGCAAGGAGCCCTCCTTCCCAACCCGGAACCTCACTCTGCAAATTTCCCAGGTTCCCTTCAGAAAGCCCCCTTCCTCCAGGGAGACCACCCCAATTCTGCCTCCTCTAAATCTGCCAAATTCTTCCTTCTCAGAACACACAGGCACGGGAGAGTTTTTGTTTTTTCTTTAATGCTGGCGTGAGGCAAGTAAGTTCTCTAATTGTGCTCAAATGCCTCAGCTCTTGGGAGGACCCTCCCCTTTAAGAAGCTTCCAGTTCGGGGGTGAGGACACTAGGGATAAGGCTTGCATGTGGCCCACTTAAGGTTCCATCCCGGCACCCGCTATGGAGCCCCGAGCACCTCCCGGAGTGAGCCCTAAGCGCAGAGCCAGGAGTCAGCCCTGAGCATCATCGCGTGCGGCCAGACGACCAGCAAATCAGCTGCGGGTCTGAAAGGAGAGACGCCACCCTTAGAAAATCCCGCGTGTGCGGGAGGAGACAGGATCCTGGGGGAGACAGGATCCTGGGGGAGACAGGATCCTGGGGGAGACAGGATCCCGGGGGATACAGGATGCTGCGCGCTCCGGGATGCAGGAGGAGGCCGGCTCCGGGCAGGAACGACGCGCGCCCGCGCTGGACCGGGCCCGGCCTCGGTGCCAGCGCCGCCTCCTCTCCGCAGCGGGGCTCGGGGCCTTAGGGATCCCGCGGGTCGGCGTGAACCCGGAGGCCCGTCCGGGCGGAGCAGCGCGGGCAGGCGGGGGCCGGCGAGTCCTCGGCGCGGGGTCGCCCCAGCCGGGCGGGATGCGCGGCGGGTCGGGGCCGGCGCGGGCGGCGCGGGCGCGGGCGCGGGGCGGGCCGGGGCGCGGGCGGGCGCGGGCGGCCGGGCAGGGCGCGGAGGCGGCCGCAGGTCAGAAGCACGTTCAGGAGCAGCAGCTTGAAGAGCAGCAGCCGCAGCGCCCCCAGCTGCAGCGCCAGGCCCCGCGTGCCTGCGGGCGGGGAACGGCGTGAGTGCGGGGCTGGGGTGCCGCCCCCGCGCATCCCTCCCCCGGGTCCTGCGGGCGCCCTGCCCGTTTCTCCCGGGGTGCGGTGTTGGGTCCCACCCAGCCGTGCACTCTGCACTCGGGGATCACCCCTGGGCAGGGAACTCTAGGGGATGCTGAGAATCGAACCTGGATCGAGCGCGTGGAAGGCAAGCGCCTTACCCGCTCCGCCTGTACTTTTCAGGTGTCTGTGATTTGGGTTTTTTTTTTTTTTTTTTTTTTTTGCTTATTGGGTCACACCCAGCGTTGCACAGGGGTTACGCCTGGCTCATGCATTCAGGAATTACTCCTGGCGGTGCTTGGGGGGATCATATGGGATGCTGGGAATCGAACTCCGATTGGCAGCGTGCAAGGCAAACGCCCTACCCACTGTGCTATGCTCCAGGCCCTGTGATTGGGTTCTTGCTTTTTTATTTTTATTTTTGCCCCGCGGGGGTGGGAATGCTGTCACATCCAGCGATGCTCCTGGCTCTGCATTCAGAATCACTCCCCGTGGTGATCAGGGAACATATGAGGTGCTAGGGAATCGAACCCAGATCTGCAGCGTGCAAGGCAAACGGTCTACCCTCGGTACTATCTCCTAGCCCACCACCCCACCCAACCTCCAACCTGATTCTAACCTCCCCTACTCCCTTACAGATCACATGTGCAGGTGCCTTAGGTCAGGGAAGGACTCAGGTGATAGCACCTGCCTTGGTGTGCCAGGCCTGTTCAGTGTTCCAGTTTCCCCCCGCTCCTGCCCCGTGCACACACCTGGCACCGAGGAAGAGAGAAATTAATAGCAAATCCCTCTCTAGCCTTCACTGTCTCCCTGAGCATGGTGGGCATATGGGTGGGGCGCAGGGGACGGGGAGGAGGCAGGGGGAAATCGGAGAGAGGTAGGAATTGGTATTCACGGAGGAGAGGAGCCAGTTCAAAACTTTTTCTTCTCTTGTTTATTTTAGTGGGGGAAGGTGCAGGGTTTGGGCCACACCCAGAGGTGCTCAGGGTTTACTCTGGCTCTGGGCTCAGGGATCACTCTGGCGGGGTGCAGGGTGCTGAGGACTGAGCTGAGGGAGGCCACATGCAAGGCAAGTGCCTCACACCAGGCTGCTCACTTGCTTGCTTTCCTGTTCTTGCTTCTTGCCCGCCCTTCCTTCCTTCCTCCCTCCTTCCTTCCTTCCCTTCCTTCCTTCCTTCCTTCCTTCCTTCCTCCTTCCTCCTTCCTTCCCTTCCTACCCTTCCTTCCTTCCTTCCTTCCTTCCTTCCTTCCTTCCTTCCTTCCTTCCTTCCTTTCTTCCTTCCTTCCCTTCCTTCCTTCCCTTCCTTCCTTCCTTCCTTCCTTCCTTCCTTCCATTCCTTCCTTCCTTCACTCACTCCCTCCCTCCCTCCCTCCCTTCCTTCCTTCCTTCCTTCCTTCCTTCCTTAACCCTTCTTTCCTTCTTCCTTCCTTTCCTTCCTTCCCTCCCTCCCTCCTCCCCTCCCTTCCTTCCTTCCTTTCCTTCCTTCCTTCCTTCCTTCCTTCCCTTCCTTCCTTCCCTTCCTTCCCTTCCTTCCTTCCTTCCTTCCCTTCCTTCCTTCCTTCCTTCCTTCCTTCCTTCCTTCCTTCCTTCCCTTCCTTCCCTCCTTCCTTCCTTCTTCCCTCCTTCCCTCCCTCCCTTCCTTCCTTACTTCCCTCTTTCTTCCTTCCTTCCTCCTTCCTTTCCTTCCTTCCCTCCCTCCCTCCCTCCCTCCCTCCCTCCCTTCCTTCCTTCCTTCCTTCCTTCCTTCCTTCCTTCTTTCCTTCCTTCCCTTCCTTCCTTCCCTTCCTTCCCTTCCTTCCTTCCCTTCCTTCCCTTCCTTCCTTCCTTCCTTCCTTCCTTCCCTTCCTTCTTCCTTCCTTCCCTTCCTTCCTTCCTTCCCTCCTTCCCTCCCTCCCTTCCTTCCTTACTTCCCTTCTTTCCTTCCTTCCTTCCTTCCTTCCTTCCTTCCCTCCCTCCCTCCCTCCCTCCCTCCCTCCCTTCCTTCCTTCCTTCCTTCCTTCTCTTCCTTCCTTCCTCCTTCCTTCCCTTCCTACCCTTCCTTCCCTTCCTTCCTTCCTTCCTTCCTTCCTTCCTTCCTTCCTTCCTTCCTTCCCTTCCTACCCTTCCTTCCTTCCCTTCCTTCCTTCCTTCCTTCCTTCCTTCCTTCCCTTCCTTCCTTCCCTTCCTTCCCTTCCTTCCTTCCCTTCCTTCCTCCTTCCTTCCCTTCCTTCCTTCCTTCCTTCCTTCCTTCCTTCCTTCCTTCCCTTCCTCCTTCCTTCTTCTTTCCTTCTTCCTTCCTTTCTCCTTCCTTCCCTTCCTTCCCTTCCTTCCTTCCTTCCTTCCCTTCCTTCCTTCCTTCCTTCCTTCCTTCCTTCCTTCCTTCTTTCTTCCTTCCTTCCCTTCCTTCCCTTCCTTCCCTTCCTTCCTTTCCTTCCTTCCTTCCTTCCTTCCTTCCTTCTTCCTTCCTTCCTTCCTTCCCTTCCTTCCCTTCCTTCCTTTCCTTCCTTCCTCTTCCTTCTTCCTTCTTCCTTCCTTCCTTCCTTCCCTTCCTTCCTTCCTTCCTTCCTTCCTTCCTTCCTTCCCTCCCTTCCTTCCCTTCCTTCCCTTCCTTCCTTCCCTTCCTTCCTTCCTTCCTTCCTTCCTTCCTTCTTCCTTCCTTCTTCCTTCCTTCCCTTCCTTCCTTCCCTTCCTTCCCTTCCTTCCTTTCCTTCCTTCCTTCCTTCCTTCCTTCCTTCCTTCCTTCCTTCCTTCCCTTCCTTCCTTCCTTCCTTCTTTCCTTCCTTCTTTCCTTCCTTCCTTCCTTCCTTCCTTCCTTCCTTCCTTCCTTCCCTTCCTTCTTCCTTCCCTTCCTTCCTTCCTTTCCTTTCTTCTCCTTTCTCTCTTTTTTCCTTCTCTCTTTCTCTTGACCTTCCTTCCTTCCCTTCCTTCCTTCCTTCCTTCCTTCCTTCCTTCCTTCCTTCCTTCCTTCCCTTCCTTCCCTTCCTTCCTTCCTTCCCTTCCTTCCCTTCCTTCCTTCCTTCCTTCCTTCCTTCCTTCCCTTCCTTCCTTCCTTCCTTCCTTTCTTCTTCCTTCCCTTCCTTCCTTCCTTCCTTCCCTTCCTTCCTTCCCTTCCTTCCTTCCTTCCTTCCTTCCTTCCTTCCTTCCTTCCTTCCCTTCTACCCTTCCTTCCCTTCCTTCCTTCCTTCCTTCCTTCCTTCCTTCCTTTCTTCCTTCCTTCCCTTCCTTCCTTCCCTTCCTTCCCTTCCTTCCTTTCCTTCCTTCCTTCCTTCCTTCCTTCCTTCCTTCCTTCCTTCCTTCCTTCCTACCCTTCCTTCCCTTCCTTCCTTCCTTCCTTCCTTCCTTCCTTCCTTCCTTCCTTCTCTTTCTTCCTTCCTTCCCTTCCTTCCCTTCCTTCCCTTCCTTCCTTCCCTTCCTTCCTTCCTTCCTTCCTTCCTTCCATTCCTTCCTTCCTTCCTTCCCTCCCTCCCTCCCTCCCTTCCTTCCTTCCTTCCCTTCTTTCCTTCCTTCCTTCCTTCCTTTCCTTCCTTCCTTCCCTCCCTCCCTCCTCCCTCCCTCCCCCTCCCTTCCTTCCCTTCCTTCCTTCCTTCCTTCCTTCCTTCCTTCCTTTCTTCCTTCCTTCCCTTCCTTCCTTCCTTCCCTTCCTTCCTTCCTTCCTTCCTTCCTTCCTTCCTTCCTTCCTTCCTTCCCTTCCTTCCTTCCTTCCTTCCTTCCCTTCCTTCCTTCCTTCCTTCCTTCCTTCCTTCCTTCCTTCCTTCCTTCCCTTCCTTCCCTTCCTTCCTTCCCTTCCTTCCTTCCTTCCTTCCTTCCTTCCTCCTTCCTTCCCTTCCATCCTTCCCTTCCTTCCCTTCCTTCCTTCCCTTCCTTCCTTCCTTCCTTCCTTCCTTCCCTTCCTTCCTTCCCTTCCTTCCTTCCCTTCATTCCTTCCTTCCTTCCTTTCTTCCTTCCTTCCTTCCTTTCTTCCTTCCTTCCCTTCCTTCCTTCCCTTCCTTCCCTTCCTTCCTTCCCTTCCTTCCTTCCTTCCTTCCTTCCTTCCTTCCTTCCTTCCTTCCTTCCTTCCCTTCCTTCTTCCTTCCCTTCCTTCCTTCCTTCCTTCCCTTCCTTCCTTCCTTTCCTTTCTTCTCCTTTCTCTCTTTTTTCCTTCTCTCTTTCTCTTGACCTTCCTTCCTTCCTTCCTTCCTTCCCTTCCTTCCTTCCTTCCTTCCTTCCTTCCTTCCTTCCTTCCTTCCTTCCTTCCCTTCCTTCCCTTCCTTCCTTCCTTCCCTTCCTTCCCTTCCTTCCTTCCTTCCCTTCCTTCCTTCCTTCCTTCCTTCCTTCCTTCCCTTCCTTCTTCCTTCCTTCCTTCCTTCCTTCCCTTCCTTCTTCCTTCCTTCCCTTCCTTCCTTCCCTTCCTTCCTTCCTTCCTTCCTTCCTTCCTTCCTTCCTTCCTTCCCTTCCTTCCTTCCCTTCCTTCCTTCCTTCCTTCCTTCCTTCCTTCCCTTCCTTCCTTCCCTTCCTTCCCTTCCTTCCTTCCCTTCCTTCCTTCCTTCCTTCCTTCCTTCCTTCCTTCCTTCCTTTCTTCCTTTCTTCCTTCCTTCCCTTCCTTCCTTCCCTTCCTTCCCTTCCTTCCTTCCCTTCCTTCCTTCCTTCCTTCCTTCCTTCCTTCCTTCCTTCCTTCCTTCCCTTCCTTCCTTCCTTCCTTCCTTCCTTCCTTCCTTCCTTCCCTTCCTTCTTCCTTCCCTTCCTTCCTTCCTTCCTTCCCTTCCTTCCTTCCTTTCCTTTCTTCTCCTTTCTCTCTTTTTTCCTTCTCTCTTTCTCTTGACCTTCCTTCCTTTCCTTTCTTCTCCTTTCTCTCTTTTTTCCTTCTCTCTTTCTCTTGACCTTCCTTCCTTCCCTTCCTTCCTTCCTTCTTTCCTTCCTTCCTTCCTTCCTTCCTTCCTTCCTTCCTTCCTTCCTTCCTTCCCTTCCTTCCTTCCTTCCCTTCCTTCCCTTCCTTCCTTCCTTCCTTCCTTCCTTCCCTTCCTTCCTTCCTTCCTTCCTTCCTTCCTTCCCTTCCTTCTTCCTTCCTTCCTTCCTTCCTTCCTTCCTTCCCTTCCTTCTTCCTTCCTTTCCTTCCTTCCTTCCTTCCTTCCTTCCTTCCTTCCTTTCCTTTCTTCTCCTTTCTCTCTTTTTTCCTTCTCTCTTTCTCTTGACCTTCCTTCCTTCCTTCCTTCCTAACTTTTTTCCTTCCAACTTCTTTCCTTTCTTTCCTTCTTCTTTCTTTCTTTCTTTCTTTCTTTCTTTCTTTCTTTCTTTCTTTCTTTCCTTCCTTCTCCTTTCTTTCTTTCTTTCTTTCTTTCTCTCTCTCTTTCCTTTTTCTTCCTCTCTTTCTCTCATTCTCTCTCGACCTCTCTTCCTTCTTTCCTTCCTTCTCTTTATTTTTTCTTTCTCTCTTTCTCTCTCTTTCTTCTTTCTTTCTTTCTCTTGTTCTCTCTCTCGACCTTCCTTCTTTCCTTCCAACTTCCTTCCTTTCTTTCCTTCTCTCTCTTTCTTTCTTTCTCTCTCTCTCTCTTTATTTTTCTTTCTCTCTTTCTCTCTCTTTCTTCTTTCTTTCTTTCTCTTGTTCTCTCTCTCGACCTTCCTTCTTTCCTTCCAACTTCCTTCCTTTCTTTCCTTCTCTCTCTTTCTTTCTTTCTCTCTCTCTCTTTATTTTTTTCTTTCTCTCTTTCTCTCTTTGTCTCTCTCAACCTTCCTTCCTTCCGTAAACGGAATCCAGGGCCTTGCTTTAATTATTTTATTTTGTTTTCTTAATTTTTGCAGTGTGGGGGATCAAGCCTTGGGCCTCACTCTAGGGTGGAGCAAGTACTCTAGCCCTGAGCTTTATGCCTGCCCTTCAGAATTCTGTCTCTTGGCTGTTGAACCCCCTCCAGTAGCCCCCACGTCCCCCCACTATGCTGCAGTGCTGTTCCATTTCACATCCCTGTCAGCTCTGCTCTGTGCCTCTCAGCTGGGGGTCAGGAAATTCAGCCCCCACTTACCAATGGGGAGACTGAGGCCCAGGCTAGCAGGTGCCCCAACCCCAGCAGGGCAGGCTCTTCAAAGATGACCACCTGGGACCAGAGTAATAAGCGGGAAGGCATTTGCCTTGTATGGCAAATCTGGTTTGCCTTCAATTTGGATTCAGTCCTTGACACCCCACATGGTCCCCCAGCACCGCCCGGCGTGATGCCTGAGCACAGAGCCAGGAGTAAGTCCTGAGCACCACCAGGCTTGGCCCACAAAGAAACACAAGGGCTGAAGCGATAGCACAGCAGGTAGGGCGTCCTTACATGCAGCCCACCCGTGTTCGATTCCCAGCATCCCATATGGTCCCCCCGAGCACTACCAGGAGTAATTCCTGAGTGCATGAGCCAGGAGTAACCCCTGGGCATCGCCGGGTGTGATCCAGAAAGAAAAAAAAAAAGAGAAAAATAAAGACACCCACCAGACAGTGACCCGAGCAGCATCTGTGGCCGTGACACCCACACTCACCTCTGAGAGGCTCCCAGAAGCAGTTCCTGGCTGAGGAAGCCTTTCCTGTGGGACAGGGAGGACAGGGAGTGAGTGTTACAGGTGACGCTCACCCCCTACTCCCTAGTGTCAGGACCAGCCCCAGGTTAGCTCTTTAGGGCAGGGGTGAGGGGGGAAGCAATGGACACTGATTCACAGCTGCCACTGAGCCCCTGTGCTGCGTGTCTCTGAACCCCACCCCTGCTTGCCCCTCTTCTCTGGGCCCTGCACTCTGAGGGAGGAAGGCGGGATGCTTATTCAGCTAACGTCTCCCCTGGGAAGCCGACAGATGTAACACAATCCAAAGACAGGGAAGCAGCCAGCTGGTGGTTCAGAGAGGAGGTGGCTTGGGACAAGTTATTCCACCTCCCCAGGCCTGCGAAATGAGGGAAACAGATGACCTAGCTCAGACACGGGAAATGTCTCGAGCAATGCAGAGTAGTAACAGCAAGCTTTATTGCGCGTTTGCTCCATATTTATTTATTTATTTATTATTGGTTTGGGAGCCATACCTGGCAATACTTGGGGGTTACACTCGGGAATCCTGGTGGTGCTCGGGGGACCACCTGGGATGCTGGGGATCAAACCTGGGTGGGCCGAGTACAAGGCAAGCACTTTACCCAGTGTAGTAATTCTCCAGCCCTGTGCTCTGTATTTAGTGCTCGTGTGGTTCTGACAGGTAGGGCCTCACACATAGGGCAATCTATAGATAGAACTATGAACCCTAGGGCTGGGGTTTTTAAATTAGTTTTACTTTTGTTTTTGGCCCACACCTGGCGATGCCCAGGGGTTACTCCTGGCTCTGCGCTCAGGAATTATTCCTATCGCTGTTTAGGGAACCATATGGGTTATGAGGAACTGAACCTGGATTGGCCACATGCAAGGCAAATACCCTTCCCACTGTACTTTCTGGCCCCTATAGTTTTTTTTTTTTCTTTTTGGGTCACACCCGGCAATGCACAGGGGTTATTCCTGGCTCGTGCACTCAGGAATTACTCCTGGCGGTGCTCGGGGGACCATATGGGATGCTGGGAATCGAACCCGGGTTGGCTGCGTGCAAGGCAAACACCCTACCCGCTGTGCTATCACTCCAGCCCCAGGTTTTATTTTATTTTTTATTTTTCTTTTTGCTTTTTGGGTCACACCTGGCGATGCACACGGGTTCCTCCTGACTCTGCACTCAGGAGTTACTCCTGGCGGTGCTCGGGGGCGGGGGGGGGCATATGGGATGCTGGGAATCGAACCCTGGTCGGCCACATGCAAGGCAAACGCCCTACCCGCTGTGCTATTGCTCCAGCCCCTGGCCCCTATAGTTTTTTTTTTTTTAAGCTAGGGATTGAACTCAGGGCCTCACACAGGCAAAACAAGGGTTCTACCTGTCCCCACCTGTCAGCTATTACCCTTGTCATCAGGGCCTCCTTGGACCTGTGTATATGTATAGATTCTGGGAGGGGACTGCTTGAAAGTCACGCATCAGCTCTTAGCATGAGATGAAATGCCACAGCTATAGATCCCAGGACTCAGGGCCCACACTGCCCCTGCCCTGAGCCCAAGCATCACCTGACCTACATGGTTTGCGTTTGGACACCCCTCCTGCCCCCTGGGTCCCCTCCCACCCCCACCCACGTGGTCTGCATCTGGACACTCCTCCCACCCCCTGGCCTCCCTCCCACCACGGCTGGGCACCAGGCCTGGGGAAGTGGCGGGGTGCACACGCACCTGACAGCCGGAGGGGCCGTGTGCTCCAGCTCTGGTTCCCGACTCCCGGCCTCGTGTGACACACCAAAGACTCCCAGGCTGCCAACTCCTCAGAGGGCAGCGAGAGCTGAGCCAGGCCCGTCCAGGTGCCGTCCGCTGCCGGGGAAGGGCCGTAGGTGAAGGCGTCCAGCGCGCTGCCGTTGGCGACTGAGAACCAGATGGGGCTCTCGAGGTGAGGGGGGGCCACGTTGAGGACCAGGCAGACCACCAGTGTCTGCGGCTTTCCACCTACCAGCAGTGTGATGGGTGGGGCCAGAGAGGGAAGGGGGCTGCCCCCTACACCTGCAAGAGAGCAGGCAGCTGTGGGGACCCACTCCTCACACCCTACCCGGCCAGCGTCATGCAGCCCCTCACCCCCGCCAACCTTGGAGCACCCTGTCATTCCGACACATCTAACCTCCCTCCCTTCCCTCCGTCTCCATCCATTTCTCCAGACACCATCCATCATTTCCATGTTTCTTCTCTTTTTTAAATTTTTTTGGGGGGCCACCCCCAGCAGTGCTCAGGTCTTACCCCTGGCTCTGTGCTTAGGGATCAGTCCTGGTGGGGCTTAGGGGACCAGAACCGGTGATGACAAAGACAAGTGCCCTACCTGCTGTACCAGCTCTCCAGCCCACAGCTGTTCTTTCTATCTTCCACCTACATATCCATCCATCCACCCATCCATCCATCCACCCATCCATCCATCCATCCATCCGTCTCCGATCAGATCTGAACCTTCCTGTGCCCGATGTCAGGGACACAGAGTCGAGATGACAACATTTCTCATACCTAGATGTGTCAGCCTCAGGAGTGTGGTTCCGTCTGGAGAGGAAGGAACGGGAAAGAGATCTGAAAGGAGACCAAAGTGATTTCAAATGAATCTGTAACTTTTTGTTTCTCTGCTTCAGAGGTGGCAACATTTATTTTATGTTTTCAATTTTATTTATTTATTTATTTGTTTTTTTTTTTTTGGTCACACCCGGCGATGCACAGGGATTACTCCTGGCTCTGCACTCAGGAATTATTCCTGGTGGTGCTCAGGGGGACATATGGGATGCTGGGAATCGAACCTGGGTTGGCCGCGTGCAAGGCAAACGCCCTACCCGCTGTGCTATTGCTCCAGCCCCGAGGTGGCAACATTTAAACCATTGGTTAATCAGAGTGGATTCTGCATGTGTTTGTCCTGTTATTTTCTGTATCCCTTCCCCATCACACACACACACAAACACACACACACACACACACACACACACACACACAGGCAGTGCTCTGGGCTTACTCCTGGCTCTTGCGCCAGGCATCACTCCTGGAGGGGGACCATGTGATGCTGGGGATCAAATTGGCTTGGCAAATGCCCTACTGGACTAGAGATCCAGCCTCTGATCTCTGTACTGTTTTGGGAGAGGATCTCAGCCAATCAGGAGCCTCCTGCAGGCAGTGCAGGGATCAAACTTGGGGCTCTCACATGCACCCAGCCACTTAAGAATCTCTAAGGCTCCATTCTCTGTTCTTCTGTGTATACTGGTTTTTATTTATTTATTTTTTTTAGTTTTTTGGGAGACACATCAGGAGGTGCTCAGGGCTTACCCCTGGCTCTGTGCTTAGGATCATCCTGGTGGTGCTCAGGGGACCATGTACAGAGTTTGGGACCAAACTGGGGTTGGTTGCTTAGAAGACAAGGCCTTACTCCTGTACTATCTCTCCAGCCCAGTAATACTTTGAAAACAGCATCACTTAGGGTCAAAGACATAGTGCAGAGCTGAAGTTTCTTGCCTTGCACGCTGCTGACCCTGGTTCAGTCCCTTGTATCACCGTATCACTGTCATCCCATTGTTCATTGATTTCCTCAAGCAGGTGCCAGTAACGTCTCCATTCGCCCCTGCCCTGAGATTTTAGCAACCTCTCCTTACTCGTCCTTCCCAACGGTGCCTTATTGGAGACTCTTTCAGGGTCAGGCGAATAAGACCCGTTATTGTCACTGTTTTTGACATATCGGATACGCCACGGGGAGCTTGCCAGGTTCTGCCGTGTGGGCGGAATACTCTTAGTAGCTTGTCGGGCTCTCCGAGAGAGACCACATTCAATCCCTGAGTACCACCAGGAGTAAGCCCTTAGCACTTCTGGGTGTAGCCCCCAGACAAAACAAACCAAAAGAGCATTGTTGAATTGTGTAGTATTCACGTACTATATAATTAATGTATTTAATATGCATATTTTTATTTTATAATTCAAACACAAAAATGAGTTATGTGAAACGTCTGTCCTAGTTTTCAGAATAGTCCAGATTTTCCACAAGTAATGTTAGTAAAAATTACTAATGTACAACATGCTATTTAACAGGCAAAATGTCATTTTTTGAATAAACAGATTTTTTTGCATAAATAAAATATCAAAGGTTAAAACCTACAAGCAGAGAAATAGTACAGGGTTAAGGCCATTGCCTTACACACAGTTGACCTGATTTGATCCCTGGCACCAGGCGTGGTGTCCCAAGCGCCATCAGGAGTGATCCCTGAGCGCCGAGCCAGGAGTCAGCCCCAAGTATAGCTGGATGTAGCCCACAAACCAAAAACAAAAATAATTTTAAAGGATGACTAGAAAATGCCAGTAAAATGAATCACTGTCACTGTCCTCCCGTTGTTCATCGATTTGCTCGAGCGGGCCCAGTAACGTCTCCATTGTGAGACTTGTTGTTACTGTGTTTGGTATATCGAATACGTCACGGGGAGCTTGCCAGATGGATATTAATATTAATAAGATACTGTGCACAACGGGACTAGAGCAGGCGAGGAGTGAGCTCCAGGAACCCCCAACCTCCCAAGCGTTTACACTTGTAGAGTTCAGCTTCCACCTTCTAGAGGAAGTCTCCCAGGACTACTCCTGACCCCACCACTTCCTTCTCGAGCCTCCCCTCAGGGCTGTCCTGCTTCCTAATGGTGGGGTGTTTTTCCTAGAGAGAAAGGGGGTGGGGAGGGAAGGGGGAGACCAGCTTTAGATCAAGCCCATGGCAGACTTCCAGGCCCCCCGCCGTGACCACACACATGAAAACGTGAACACGCTCCCAGGTGAAGCTGGATTTTTCCAATCCCCAGCCTTCATCTCCAGAGGGTTGGGGGTAAATACCCCTGGAAGTCACTGACACTCAGATCCCGGTACCCCTGAGGCTTCTCCTGAGCTCACTGTAAGGGGGTGGGGCAGGATGACAGGAAAAGCTGTGGCCAGGTCATCAGGGCCGTCACCCCAGCCACTAGCACACAGTGCTAGGCTGCCCTGGTTCCTGTTTGTCTCTCTTCCAGGAAATGGAGGTCCCCCCGAGGTGCCGGGGGCCAGCTGCAGACCTGAGGCTTGTGGGCTGGGGAAGAGGCACCCACAGCAGTTACCCCGTTACCCACCGGCGGCACCAGGGCAGCAGGACATGGGGCCCAGAGTAAAGATGCTATTGGGACCGGAGTGATGGCACAGCAGGGAGGGCGTTTGCCTTGCAAGCCGTCGACCCAGGTTTGATCCCTAGGATCCCATCTGATCCCCTGAGCACCACGCTAGGAGTGATCCCTGAGCACTGATGGGTGTGACCCCCAAACAAAAACAGAGTGAAGGAGCCAGGAGCCAAGGATAGAAAGACGTGAGACCCTCCCTGGCACAGGCCCCCAAAGTCTCTGCCCTTCAGCCCCCTGATTCCCAGAGCTGGAGAGAAGGGTCCCAGGCCGCTGACACCCACAGTGAGGGACGCAAGCGGGGCTCACCTGTGGGCAGGGCCGGACACCTGAGGGCCAGGAGAAGCAGCAGCCAAGGCCCCGGCCTGGCCATGGTCCCCCCAGGGTGCCAGGAGCCAGCCGCAGAGCCAAGGCATGTGTACTGGGGAAGAGACACCCCAGCACTGATGCCCAGGACATGGGCCCAGCTGTGCCTCAGCCGCTTGCCTCAGCACCCTGCCCTGCCCCCAGCCTGGCCCCCAAACCCAGCCCTCCAAGGTGCCGCTCCCACAGCGCACCTGGACCCGGCTGCCCACACTCCCGCAGAGGGCAGTGCCATCTGCGGGAGATAGCATGAGGCCCTGTGTCGTGGCCCCACGCACGCCCCTTCCCAAAGCCCCTGTGAGCGCCACCCTTCAGCCAGCCCTCTGGGGGCACTTGGTCAAGCCACACTGCTGACTGCAGACTGGCCGGAAGCCCAAAGGCTGTCCATTCCCATGTGTACATGCTGTCCCCCAACCCCCATATTCCCCGTATTATCATTATTGTTATTATTATTTTAGCAGCCTCTCCTTATTCGTCTTTCCCAATGCTGCCCTATTGGAGGCTCTTTCAGGGTCAGGGGAACGAGATTCATTATTGTTATTGGGTTTTTTTTTGTTTTTTCTTTGTTTGTTTTGCTTTTTGGGTCCCACCTGGCGATGCACAGGGGTTACTCCTGGCTCATGCACTCAGAAATTACTCCTGGCAGTGCTCGAGGGACCATATGGGAATCGAACCTGGGTCGGCCGCATGCAAGGCAAACGCCCTACCCACTGTTGTTACTGTTTTTGGCATATTGAATATGCCATGGGGAGCTTGCCAGGCTTTGCCATGTGGGTGGGATACTCTCAGTAGCTTGATGGGCTCTCTGAGAGGTATATATATGTGTGTGTGTGTGTGTCTGTGTGTGTGTCAATGTGTGTGTGTATTTTCCTCTTTGATTTGTTGCCTACTGTCTGAACCCCATCAAATATGGTGTAGTAATTATGAAAAATGGGTAGGGAGTGTCTTATGATGTGTAGTGCGGCCACAAAAGCGGCCACACGGTCCAGGATTATGTTCACTCTTAACGGGATGACAGTGATACAGTGATTATAGTTGGGTTGGGGGCCACACTCAGCAGTGCTCAGAAGTGAACCTGGCCATGCTCAGGGGGACTGTATGTGGTGCCAGGCATCGATCAGGGTCAGCTGTGTGCAAAACAAGCACCTCACTCCAGATACTCTCCCTGGCCCTGACTTCCCCCTTTAAATCAAGTTTATCTTTTAGAGTGGTGCCAGGTGGACAGCAAAAATTGAGCAGCAGGGAGGCAGAGGAGCTGACGCAAAGGACTGGAATGCTTTCACTGCACATGGGACACCTCTACTGCCCGATTCCCTGGGGGCATGCTGGGAGGACCCCTGAGCACTGCTGGCTGTGGACCCCAAACCAAACGCAAACAAACAAAACTGAGCAGAAGTCAGGGCCGGGGCGATAGTTCAGCAGTACAAGGGTAGGGCATTTGCACGCAGTTGATGCGGGTTCAATCCTCAGCGTTCCATATGGTCCCTAAGTAATTCCTGAGTGCAGAGTCCTGAGCACCTCCAGGTGTAGCCCCAAAACACAACAAAGAAATAAAACAAAAAGAAGGTACAGAGATTCCCTTGCCCCTGCATACCAACCCGTCATTTGAAAATTCACTCTGAATAAGTGGCTTTTTCAGTGACTCCGTTTACTCTGAGCTATAAGGCTGGAGAAACAGCTTTGCAGGAGGACGCCCATTTGAGATCTGGCAATGGTTCCCTGAGCACTTCTGGATATGTCCCTGAAATAAAAAAAAAAACACAAAACCAAACAAACAAGAAAACCAGCAACACAATTGTTCAACACTAGGGCAAGAATTAAATTAAAAATGTTAGGTGGATTTATATTAGCGTATTATATTATGCACAGTTTTAAAAAATCAAGTCTCAAGGACCAGAGAGATAGTACAATGTGGAAGGTGCTTGCCTTCTGCCTGGCTGTTCTGAGTTTGATTTATTTCCAGTACCCCAGATGGTCCCCTGAACCCACTAGGAGTGATCCCTGAGCACAAAATCAGGAGTAAGCACTGAGATTGCTGAGTGTGGTCCCCAAATTAAAAATAATTATGTATATAACAATCATGTCTCAGGGCTAGAGTGATAGTACTAGGGCATTTGCCTTGCATACAGCTGACCCAGGTTCAATCCCTGACAGTCTATGTGGTCCCCTGAGCACCTCCAGGAGTAATTTCTGAGTGCAGAGCCAGGAGTAACTCCTAAGCATTGCCGGGCATTGCCCAACAAGCAAATAAATAAATAAATCATGTCTCCAACGAATGTTTATTTATTTTGGGGGCTGTAGTTGGGGCAACACTTAGCTCTGTTCAGGGCTTATTTCTGACACTGCTCAGGGATCACTCCCAATAGGAGTTGGGGGGCCATATTTGGGGCTGGATCAAACTGTGGATCAGCTCTGTGCAAGACAAGCATCTTATCTCTCGTGATCTCTGGTGAATTTTTTTTTTTTTTTTTTTTTTTTGCTTTTTGGGTCATACCCAGCGATGCACAGGGTTTACTCCTGGCTCTGCACTCCGGAATTACAGTGCTCGGGGGACCACATATACCCCATATATATATATAAAATCCCATATGTAATCCCATATACCCCAACCATATGGGATGCTGGGAATTGAACCTGGGTCGGCCGCGTGCAAGGCAAACGCCCTACCCGCTGTGCTATCACTCCAGCCTCTGGTGAATGTTTTAAGGTCTGGCATGTAGAGTTTAGTCTGAACACTGTGACATCTTTGTATTGGGAGGCCCCGGGTTCAATCCCTGGCAACTTCTGGTCTCCCACGCACTGCCAGTGAGTAGAACACTTGCCTTTTATGTGTTGGCCTGGGTTATATCCCTGAGTGATCTCTGAGCCTAGTCAGGAATAAGCCCTGAGCATTGCCAGGTGTTACCCAAAAAACAAACAAATAAATACTGGGGAGAAAGCTCAGCGACCAATGTCTCATGAGTATGAACCCCTGCTGCACACGGTCCTCTGAGCACTGCTGGAATGTAGCCCTGGGCCCCCAAACACTGCCAGGATCATCCTGCCCTGCACTGCCAGGCCCAAACATTGAACCATTTTTTTTTTAATTAGTGAAACACCATGATGTGCAGTTATAGACTTACAAGTTTTTGTGCTTGGGTTTCAGTTATACAATGATCACATACCCATCCCTCCACCAGCGCCCATCCTCCACCACCACGGGTCCCAGTGTCCCTCCCAACCCCCATACCCCCCCATCCCACCCTGCCTCTGTGGCAGGGCATTCCCCCTTGTTCTCTCTCTCTTCTTTTGGGTGCTGTGTTTTGCAAGAGAGGCATTGAGTGGCAATCATGTTCGGTCTATTGTCTACTTTCAGTATGCTTCTCCCACCCTGGGAGGATCCTCACAATATCCTTTATTTGGTGCTCTCTTCTCTATCTGAGCCATTAAACCATTTTGAAACAAACATAAATGATACCAATCTTGGGCCAAAGGCAGAGTGCAGAGATACGGTACTTGTCTTACACAGAGTCCAGCACCACAGATGATCATCCCGTCCTGCCAGGAGCGATCCCGGAGTGTGAAGCCAGGATAAGCGCAGCCAGGGGTGGCCCCCAAAACAAACAAACGAATAACTCCCACAATACCGACCGTGACACCAGCCATTTCTCTGTGCTTTGCCAGCTTTTCACTTCTCTCTCCTCATCCTTTCTTTCCCCTCGTGGTGAGTTGCTGTGGTCTGGGGTCCATATACACTGGGGTCCCATATAGGCTTGGTGGCAGAGCTTGTGTGCTCGGCCCTGGTGCTTTTGGGGTGCTGGCACACATGCTCCCTGGGGCTTGTGCTCCTTCGTGGGGTGCTGAGGAGCTATGCTAGCTGTGATACTCCCAGACATGCTGGAGAGGTGCTCCCAGGGCCATGCAATGGTGCTCCCAGACCTGCTGGGCAAGTGCTCTCAGGACCACACAGTGGTGCTCCCAGACGTGCTGGGGGAAATGCTCTCAGGGCCATGCAGTGGTGCTTTCAGACATGTTGGAGGAAGTGCTCCCAGGATCATGCAGTGGTGCTCCCAGACATGTTGGGGGAGGTGCTCCCAGGACCACACGATGGTGCTCATACAGGTGCCTGCTGGGCCCACATGCCTCCGGAGAGGCTTGCACATCCTAGCAGTGATGCATGAGGAGGGGCAAACACCTCAGCTATGGGGACCCCAAACAACAGAGACATGGAGGGGCAGAGGGCATGTGGGGGGCACAGGGGCCAGGATAGTCCCCGTTGCAAGCACCCAAGGCGGGCACTTTTTTCCCTTTTTTTTTTTTTTTTTTGCTTTTTGGGTCACACCTAGTGATGCACAGGGGTTACTCCCAGCTCTGCACTCAGGAGTTACTCTTGGCTGTGCTCAGGGGACCATATGGGATGCTGGGAATCGAACCCGGGATGGTCACGTTTGCAAGGCAAACGCCCTACCCGCTGTGCTGTCGCTTCAGCTCCCACTTCTCTCCCTTTTTGGTGGAGTGTGGGGCCACCCTCGGGGTGCCCAGGGCTTACCCCTGGTTCTGTACTCAGAGATCATCCTGGTGGCCCTCGGGGGTCCTTGAACCCATGCCAGTGGTTGCAAGGCAGACTCTCCCAGACACACCGTTAGCCCTGTAGGCCTGTAAGTCTTCTCCCTGGGATGGACACATCCTCACTTCCAGTATGTTTGTGCCCCATCCCGCCCTGCACATCTGGGTGTGTGATGGACGAGGTGTATGATACATGAGGTGAGTCTAAATTTCACTCCCCCGAAGAACTAATCAGTTATGCCATGATTATGGATGAACAGTCCTTCCTGTTCTTATTACTGGAGAAAAGATCTTTTTGTTTTTTGGGGGGGGGTCACACCCGGTGATGCACAGGAGTTACTCCTGGTTCATGCACTCAGGAGTTACTCCTGGCGGTGCCCAGGGGACCATATGGGATGCTGGGAATCGAACCTGGGCAGTCTTCGTGCAGGCAAATGCCCTACCCACTGTGCTATTGCTCCAGCC